ACTCAAAATGGTTTACACGATGGAACGAATGGCGGCAAGACTGCAACTGAAACTGGACACTTTTACACAAAGGTGGACTCGAGTTACACTCTGTTTGGGGATCTACTCGAAGAGATTGAGTTGCTGTAATAGATTGTATGATAATGGAATAGCACTCAAAGTGTTCCTCTGTAACTGAACCTGCTCTTTTGTAAATGCAAACCCCCTCTGTAATTCTTAGTTTCGTGTTTAATTATTTATTTCATTATTAAATACCTAAGTATATTGTTTGCTTCTTATTGTTTTGTTTTATATTTGTTCTGTTTGTTTTTAAAAATATAATTTTTAAGAGGTCCTATGTCTGAAAAAAATTAATATTAAATAAAAAGTAAAAATAAGAAACGTAAGGAAATACTAGAAAATGGCCTTTATTGTGTCCCACAGCTCAGAGTGACGTAGATAGCTATTTATACTCAACACAAGGATATTTAGTTTACTATCATTAAAGGGGAAAAAAAAGCATCAAATCACCACGATTTGAGAGGCTGGAACAAAAAAAATTGTCTTTTTTTTTTTTTTTAATTGATCAGCTCTGAAAGCAATCTTTTGAAGCACAGATTTCAGTTTACCACTTGCAGCAATCTTTACCAGTTACTGCACCACTGCAAACATCATTATCAATAATTACTGCTTCTTTTTCTGTAGGCAAAAGGGACAGTTCACCCCCAAATCAAAAATACATATTTGGGCGCCAAGTAGCTCACCTGGTAGAGCGGGGCACCCCATGTATAAAGGCTACGTCCTTGCTGCAGAGACTGCAGGCTCGATTCCAACCTAAAAAAATTATTATTTTTTTTTTAATAATACATATTTGCCTCTTACCTGTAGTGCTATTTATCAGCCCAGATTATTTTGGTGTGAGTTGCCGAGTGTTGCAGATAACAGCTGTAGAGATGTCTGACTTCTCGAATATAACTAGATGTCGCTCAGCTTGTGGTGCTCAAAGTGCCAAAAAGTACATTAGAAAAACGCAACATCAATGTCTCTTTGCAGAAATCATGATCCAGTTACTCAAGATAATCCACAGACCTTGTTGTGAGCAGGTTCATGTAGGACCTATTTTCTTTCTACCGAACTACACCCTCCAACATTATCTAAAAAAGTTGATACAGCATAGTATTGCGATATTTTTGTGTGGCAATATCGTATCGCCACACTGTGCCAAGTATTCATATTGTGATAACATAAATTATTTCTGCCTGTTTCATGCACTGTCTTCTTTCAAAATACACTTTCGTTTTTTTATAGGAAATGTAATGTTTACATACAGTCTCTTTCAAAATAAACGCACTACATCGGTACAACGTGAATTGACCTTTTATTCTCTTCAACAACAAAAACATGGTTAGGTTTAGGAAAGAAAGAAATGAAAGAGGCAAAGAAAGACAGATAGCCACTAGCTGGGTTTCCATCCAAATGTATCGCAAATTTTAAGCGAATTTTGTGAAAATGTGCAAAAGAAAATGCGAATTTATTCACGTTTTCATTCATTATTGTTTTGCGAGTATTGGGAGTCAACAGGTCGAGCAGAAGGTGGCGCTTCTCATGGAAAATAAAAATGCAAAAGAACACCCGTAGAAGAAGAGGGCGCCGTGAGATGACATCAATGAGAGCGTCTCATGTCCACAACTGATGTAAACAATTACCGGCACATCCATGACTACGACGAGATGGAGAGATTCCTTGGGAACTTCTTGGCTATGCGAGAGCTCACATCACACTCATATCAGCGCTGTCAGCGTAGCCTACATAATGCCGTGATGTCTGTGTTGGTACACCAGGCAGCGCACATGATGCAGCGGTATTCAACACATCCAGTCTATTCAGGTAAGTTGTGAAATAGAGTACACTCACCTGACACTGGAGTAATTACCTCTCTCTAAGTTCACACAGGTGTGTGTGTGAAGTAGAAGTAGGATTCGGTAGCCTACGTCATTGTTTATTCGCTAAATCTGTTTCCATTGCCAAAAGTCGCATTTTCCTAATATCGATACGCGGACTTTTCCACCCCCTCCAAGCGTAAAAACTTTTTTGCAATATTTCGGCCTTTTTTCGAATTTCTGGCGTTTCCATTCAAGTTTTTTTTTCGCGATTGTTGAAAGTGCGAAATAGGTGGATGGAAACCCGACTACTGTTACATCACGATGAGCACGCGTGCATGACAGAAATACACACAGACAATTCTCAGCTTGCCAGTAACGTTTTTAGACGTTGATATTTGGTTGAATTGAGGTTGTGACGTCGGGTGACGAAAATGTTTTCATGTCGGGACGTCTAATGCCAGCGCCAGTTTGACCTGAAATAGGCTACTGACGACAGGTGACGTTGATATTTTGTTGGCTTTAAGTTGTGGTGCAGGGTAACCAGAATGTCTTCTAAATGTCTCATGCCAACGTCATCTTGACTGACACATTCTCACATATTGACGTTTGGTCATGGACCAGATACGATGTGAAAGGCACCCTGGGTGTGTTGGTTGTTGACGTTAAGGGACGCTGTGTCAAGTTCTGCCTGTTACATGCATTGTCTTCTTTCAAAATACACTTCTGTTTTCACAGGAAATTTAATGTTTACATACAGTCTCTTTCAAAATAAACGTCAGCGCAACACCACAAATTTACGGGTTTTTTTCCTTCAACAACAAAAACACGTGGTTAGGTTTAGGAAAAAAGTACAGGGTTTGGCTTCAGAATCTTACGGTAGGCTACACGACTGATTTATTGTTTCGCCGCCTTAACTTTCGTCCTTGTCCCGCCATGTTTCCCCTTGACGCTGCCAGACACCATTAAACAATTACCGCAATTGGCAGTGTATCATGCTGACGTTAAAGGACAGCTTTTTTTCATTGGTTTGTGACACCGCAAGTCAATGCCCAAGCGCCAGATTTCGACGACTTCGGAGTGAGACTGTGCTCACAACGCAGAGGGAAGGGTGCATCTACTGCTAGCTCACCTAGCACCACTGAGCTAGCTAATGTTACAGCCCAGCCAAGAAGAAAGACATTAATGTTCACATATTGTGTTGTCACAAGCATGAGCCTCTCATCTGTGAGTAGATTCAGGTAGAAAGAAAATAGTTCCTACATGAAACCGCTCACAACAAGGTCTGTGGATTATCTTGAGTAGCTGGATCATGATTTCTGGAAAGAGACATTGCTGTTGAGTTTTTCAAATGTATTTTTTGGGCGCTTTGAGCACCACAAGCTGAGTGCCACCTAGTTCCATTATACTGGAGAGAAGGCAGACATCTCTACGGCTGATATCTCCAACATCTGATAATAAGTGCTACATGTAAGAGGCAAATATGCATTTTTTATTTGGGGGAACTGTCCTTTTAAGGAGGCAGCTCCACTTGGGTTCAAATCCAAAAATCATAGACAATAATTTGCACTGTTGAGAGGGATTGGGGTTTGAATCCTTTGGCTCATTTGGGTGTCTCTAAATGGGTATGCTTTCCACTTGCATGTCTGAAGGCTCCAGCCCAGCACAGGTGTAGAAAATGAACTGAAGGATGGATTGTATAGAAACACAACCAACACTGAATTACCACAACAGAGAAATAGAAGCATCATCTTTCTGAAGAATGAATGGATGGTTGCCTTCACAACCAGCAGCAAAACGCAAAACAAAACTGTCAAAGGACTGGTTTGATCGCTGTAAGCTGCTTTAAAGAGGAGCTGTTAGACTGAATGTCAGGGTAAAGATGTTGCTCTTGTTGCAGCCTGATACGGGCTAATTAAGAGACTGAAAGTGTGTCAGGCTTTCAATCACAAACCATAGATCACTTTTTTTTTTTAAAGAAAAGAGGGCTGTCAGTGTTCCTGCAGGTTTGCAACAGTCTCTCCTCGCTGCTCCCCTCGCTGCCACCCGCCTCATGTGGGCTGGATGCATAAATAGCTCAGAAACTGCCTGAGCTGCAGTCATGGCTGCCACGGGGACAAGACATCAGACATGCCAATTTGTACCCACCTCCGAACATGAAACAGACAGTAAATCAGTGCCATATCAGGCTCCAGCAGCTTCCACCTTATTCCTCTTTCAAACAACAATTAAAGGACACTCATAAAAGCACACAATGTCCCTCTTTGGGCAAAGTCGTTTGACATAAACCACCGCAGAGCAACACCACAGAGGAAAAGCAAGGGAGGAAAAAAACTGCTCATCACTCTTTCTCCATCACATTCTCCCCGCTGGGTTTCTACAAGGTCATTTTGGCGCACGACGCAGGAGAGGGCACCCAGCAACACTGAGATTTTCCCTGAGCTTTCACTGATATTCCGCAAATTCAATGCCACACATAAGCAGGACAACTTCCTATAATCTCACAAAAAGTGGGATTAAAGCAGAAGTGGAAATATATGACCGTTTGCTGAGGAGAGAAGGCGGAACAGGCGATGGAGAGGGGCAAGGGCATCGGTGCCAAAACCATATTCGACAAAACTGGATTGATGACTGGAAAGCTGGCTATATGAGCTGTTTAATGACATTAAAACATAACACTCGTCACCTCCTACCCTTCCCTCCTTGCCTCCTTGTCCTCAGAGTGAATCCTCCGCGCTGGGATGGATGATGATATCGCTCTTAACGCACAAGACCTCCCGGCAAGAACACGAACCAAGGGCGCATTTTGCCAAAATCCGCTAATAGAAATCTTAAAATATTGTATGAACGCAACGTTTAAAAAGAAAAGCCTCAATTTTATCATGCAAAAATCGACTTATTCCTTGCTTCCCTTCGGGTGCAGGTTTAGGGGTCATCGCGTATCGCAGCGCAGGCCTTTAAACTCGTTTTCAGTCATAAATAAATATCGATTTGTATCATACACACATGCAAATCCTCCTGTTATCATGCACATGGATGTACTCTCACACACGGCGGCAATTGAGGAAATTAGGGGTCATTAGCGCACTGAAAGGAGGATTAAGATTAATCTGCAGATTTAAGGATTGTGGATTTTCTTACCTTTGTGGAGGGAAGGTCAGCGCGTTTAAGGGTGACCGGGATTCGCTGTTTTTTCCGTGCAGGGAGTCACCCCGAGTACCTGAAGCGAAAAGGTCCTGTGTGCCCCTGTGATGTGCGCTGACGTAGCAGAGAGAGCTGCACCCTCCTCCCCCCTCCGCCCCCTTCACTTACTACACAACATCCCTCTTGGATGGAGACACCGCCCCCTCCACCTCCTCCTCCTCCTGCACTCCCATCCCTCCTCCAGCAGACACCATTCCTCCCAGGAAGAGCAGGGGGGTTTGCATGAAACCTGAAACGCTGATTTATGTTTCCTCCTGTGTGATTCACTCGTCAGTGGGTCTAAACGGCACAAGGTCACACTTTATATGGGATGCACACACAGCTAGAAGCAGGAGGACAGTGCGCTCTCTGCGCTCCTGCTCTGTGTCTCGGTTAGACTGTGATTTGGTCCATATGCACCAAAGGGTTGGTGCAATGAACTGTGCAAGACGAGCCTCTCCCTGCACGTGCTTGGGCTCGTGCCTATAATTGGCCATGTTAAAGAGAAAAAAATCACAAGGATGCCCCTGGTGGAAAACTACTGAAATCCTCTTCTATTAATTTTTTTATTAAGTACTTGACACAAATATAAGTTTCAGAGATATTGGAACCATGACACAACATATGAGCCTGTAGGTCAGCAATAAAGCCTATATTAACTGTGAAACTCAAATAGGAACTAGTTATTCAATTAATTATGTTTCTTGAAGCTGGCACACACTTTACAATTCAAAATTCTACAGCAAAGTTAATCTGAATGCAGGATTTAATTCAAAACTTGAACGTCTAGCCTATGAAGTTGACCAGCTGCGTATTTCTGCTATTTATTCTCGTGTGTCTTTCTAACACTTGTCATATTTGTATTTGTAAATATTTTTTAATGTGTGAAAATTAACTGAACTGGCACCGGACGTCAATGTGATGTCAGAGAGACACTGGACTCTGGACTCAGAAATTTTGGTCGGAATGAAAGATGCTCAAATTACAGTGCAGGAGCAGTTCCAAAAATGTGTCAGGTTTCCATTAGTGCATTTAAAAGTAGTATTTTATTTAGATTAAATATAAGGGCACAGAGCAACATTTGGAGTTGTGAATTTAAGTCCAATATTCACTCTTTGTGCTCTGTTTTGGTCTCCACCAGCTACTCAGGAAACACCTGGCGTTTTAGCTACCGAATATTCCACTATGTTCACCAGCTAGTCATTAAATTAGCCTGCCATTTGGCAAGTGTCGCAAAATAAAAGACTTAAAAATACCATAAATACGGACTGAGAGTGTTTTAAAATTGTAAAAGGACAGAAACAGAAACTGAGATAAAAGAGAACAAGCCACGACTAAAAACAGTGAAACCAACTTATAAACTTATAAAACAATGAATCAAACTGTGAATCCTCACTCATATCTCCTGGAAATAAATGTAAATACTTGTCTTTATCCTTTAAGGAAATTAACATCTCTGATTGATCTTAAACCACATGACCCTCATTCATGGACACATATGTGTGTAACACCTCCATTTCCAGTCACATTTCCGTTGACACTACAGCTGTCGTCTGATTGTCGCCACATCAGTTGAGGTCTTTCATGTTGCTTCAGGCTTTCAGCTGCTTTTGTCTCTTTGGTTCATCTATTGATCAGCTGGCCTGAAAGGCTGTTATCTGCAAACAGAGTGCAGAGTCTCCATCTGTCCGGCTCAGTGAGATTGTGAAGAGTGATGAAACAGTTTAAGAGTGACGGGGCGATACATTATTGGTATGGGGGAGCTTAATTTGCTTTACCATATGATTGTAATGTTTGATTGGTGCCTTTTACTGGAATATGGAACCTTTTAAGAGCTGCAGAAAGTATAATGAACACAACCCATGTGTGTCTATGAGGCACAGATTTCCTGCAATGATATCACAAAGGTTTATATTGGTTTCAATGGGTTCAAGCACTTTAAAATGTTAAATGGCATCTATTCATTTCAGTTACAGGATGAATTTTTAATTTGTTTGGTGGTGTGTTCCTTGTATTCATGTGGACACTACTATGCTTCCACATAAAGTGTGCTAACATGCTCACCATGACAATGTTAACATGTTTAGAAGGCTTAATGTTAACATTAGCTAAACACGTTAGCATGGCCAATTATATGTATATATCAATATAAGTAATGTTTATCATGCTAGCAATCACAGTTTGGTGTGTTAGCATGCTAACTTTGGCAAACTAGCACATGTACAGCTAAAGCTAATGGTAACGTCTTTTGCAGATAATTTGGTCACAAAAAAACACCTTGGTGGTTGGTAAGGTAGAGTCAAAACACACACTCCCTACCTACTGAGTCCTCTCAGTACCTGACACCAGGTGTTAGGAGCAAGAAACCTCCCCAAAATGGTTTTTAGTCTTTTAATTGGCCGTTTAATTAACCCAAATTTGACCCATTTTAACTTATCAACTGTTTTTCTTCCTCTCTTTTGATAGGTTAATCCTTGACTAATTCTTATTATGTTAAATGTTGGATTGAAATAAGTTTGGGAGTTGCTCTTCATACAAAAATAAATATTAGGCTAACTTTTGGGGCGTCCCAGTAGCTCACCAGGTAGACCACATGCTATTAATCAGCTAAATGTTTCATATGTGTTCATTGTCTCTCATGCTAGGAAGTGAAACCAGAGAAAGATCAACATTAAGTTCCTATATAAAGTACAACACAGTGATCCAGTCACAGAGTCAACAACAGTAAGTTAAAAGAGTAAAACACACAATAGCAACATAAACAGTAAAATTAAAGTAATTTAATGTGTTGTATTAGCAAGTTAGCAACACATTAGCCTCAGATAGCTAACGTTAAGTTTGGGGTCATTCCTATGTTCCCAGGGTCCTTTGTTCACATTCTTTGTTCTTAGGGTCCTATGCTCTATGTTCTATGTTTCCAGGGTCCAATGTTCATGTTCTATGTTCCCTGGATCCCATGTTCCCCAGGGTCCTTTGTTCGTGTCCTATGCTCCCAGAGTCCTACATTCCCAGGGTCTTATATCCCACATTCTTTGTTCAGGTCCTATTATCCTAGGGTCCTTTGTTAGTGTCTTACGTTCCTAGTGTCTTATGTTCCCAGGGTCCCATGTTCCTAGAGTCCTTTGTTCGTGTCCTATTTTACCAGGATCCCATGCTACCAGTGCCCTGTGCTCCACGTTCTATGTTCCCAGGGTCCCATGTTCTTAGGGTCCTTTGTTCCTAGGCTCCTTTGTTTGTGTTCTTTGTTCCCAGGGTCCCATGTTCCCAGGGTTCTATGTTCCACATTCTGTGTTCAGGTCCTATGATCCTAGGGTCCTTTGTTCGCATCCTGTGTTCCCAGGGTCCTACGTTCTGGGTCTAATGTTCCCAGGCTCCTATGTTTGCGTCCTATTTTCCCTGGGTCCTATGTTCTCAGGGTCTTTTGGTGTGTCGTATGTTCCCAGGGTTCTATGTTCCACATTCTGTGTTCAGGTCCTATTATCCTAGGGTCCTTTGTTTGTGTCCTATGTTCCTAGGATCCCATGTTCCTAGGGTCCTTTGTTTGCATCCAACATTACTGGGGTCCTTTGTTCTGGGTCTAATGTTCTCAGGGTCCTATGTTCCCAGAGTCCTTTGTTTTGGTTCCTTTGTCTCCAGGGTCCTATGTTCCACGTCCTATATTCGGGTCCCATGTTCCTAGAGTCCTTTGTTCGTGTCCTATTTTACCAGGATCCCATGCTACCAGTGCCCTGTGCTCCACGTTCTATGTTCCCAGGGTCCCATGTTCCTAGAGTCCTTTGTTCGTGTCCTATTTTACCAGGATCCCATGCTACCAGTGTCCTGTGCTCCACGTTCTATGTTCCCAGGGTCCCATGTTCCTAGAGTCCTTTGTTCGTGTCCTATTTTACCAGGATCCCATGCTACCAGTGTCCTGTGCTCCACGTTCTATGTTCCCAGGGTCCCATGTTCTTAGGGTCCTTTGTTCCTAGGCTCCTTTGTTTGTGTTCTTTGTTCCCAGGGTCCCATGTTCCCAGGGTTCTATGTTCCACATTCTGTGTTCAGGTCCTATGATCCTAGGGTCCTATGTTTTTGTCCCATGTTACCAGGGTCCTATGTTGGTGTCCTGTTTTCTCTGGGTCCTATGTTCCACGTCCTATGTTCCCAGGGTCTAATGTTCCCAGTGTCCTATGACCGACAGTTCTACAAAGCACCTAACCTAAAAAAGATTTCTCCAACTCTGTATTGTCTTAAGGTGACATGGGCCAGAGTTCATCAGAGTAAATCAGCTTCAGGACTTCAGCGTGTGTAACTGACACTTTTTTGTTTTACACCAGTGAACTAATCATCATGTGACATTTTACACTGTAGTAGAGAGAAAGAGGACAAAGGAAGATGAGCAACACCTCTCCATCTTTGCAGTGGAACCTGTTGGTAATGTGACAGAGCAGATGAACACAGCTGCACACGTTTCCCTGCAGCAGCCGGCAGCTGGCCTGGCTGAAGCCCTGACACACCATGTTATCATCTCCACAGACCAAACTATACCTCCAGAGACAAACTTGCAGCTCTGCACTTTGTAGGTGTGTCTGCAGCTGTCGACTCTTGTTTTTTAGTGTCCTCTTTGCCTTAACAAAAAGCAGGGTAACGCCTGGTTGACGCACAATTTAATTTCCAAACAGGATCAAATTTCCTGGACACAATGATGCAGTCGGGGCCGGTTTAATGATGTGCCTCCGCCAGCTCTTATCTGCAGCTGTAAATGTAACGTAATGAATCACAACTGCAAACAGAGGCTTTATGTAAAACTGCACAAGTACGTACTGAGCAATGAACTGACCTTTTGTGCATTATTTAAATCTCACAGTATTAACGATAATGTATGACTCATTAATCTCCATGAGGCATTTAACGTCAGAAGGACAGACAAACTGACAGTAATGTTCTCAGTCTTATGGGAACTTACAGGAAATGGGCTGCTGTGCTGCTGAATGTTAATAATATGATTAATGATTCTTCATTAATTATATAAATATGCTTCTTGTCATTAAGAGAGAAAAATGATACATGATGAAACATTACATTTGTGTCCTTTGTGTCTGTAGTTTGGTTTTATGGCAAATACTTGTCGCCATCTGGTGGTCACTTCAGGTGATGC